GTGACCTGCCATCCACAAGTGTTCCAAGTGGGAGCCCAGCCCAGGCTGCCTGGCAGGTCTTGGCGCCTCTTGTCTGCAGTCCAGGATGTGCTGAGCCGCTCCTGACAGCACCCAGGACCTCTTCTCAGCACACCCACACTCTAAGCCTAAGCGTCTACCCTGGAGCTCTCCCCAGAGATCCCAGTGCTTAGACTAGTTTGCAAAGAACAGGCCCTGAGTGTCCCCAGATTTTCAGCAGGCAAATTTCAGTAGAAGTTAGCATCCCATTACAGGGGCAGGCTTGTCCTAGTGTCTTAGCTCACCCAGAGTCACTGAAAATAGTTTTCATATTTACAAAATAAAACTTCCCCAGCAAAGCCCTGAGAGTCCCTGGAATGTGTCAGGGAGAAGGATTTATGGCATCTCCACATGTAGGTGGCCCAGGCTCACTTCTGTAGGAGGGACTGGTGCCTGCGGGTGACATGGTAGAATCTGAGGGGTCTCTCTGTCTGCAGCCCTCATGAAGCCTTGCCACTTGTCAGCAAATAACGCCAAATCCCTGCTGAAGAAGGATAAAGTGGCCGCCCTCCATGGGGCAGTAGTGGTGCTACGGCAGCCGGCGAGGAGAAGGGCACATGGTCAGTTTGCCCATCGGTTTACTTACATGGGCTTTTGTAACTCTTCCTCTTTGGATTTCTATGAACTCCCAGTAGTCACCATCGCAACTTGATTTTTGTTTCTCCAGTTACTGGGCTGATCTCCTGGAAGTGGTCTGGCTATGCCAGGTTTCCAGGGGTTAATGAAGGTCATCACTATAGCAAACCCACACTGATGGACAATAGACCTGCTTGGCTTTTGAAACTTTTTGATTCGTGGGGTTTTAAGTGGGATGTACCAGAAACACCAGGGTGGTGGAGCACGGTGGAAAGAACACTAGATGGAAATCAGGAGAGCTGGGTTCTCGTCTCAGCTTTGTCACCTCCAAGCCGCGTGTCCTGAAGCAAGTCAGTCGGCTCTCGTCTGTGAAATCACACAGCTTGTTCACGTACTCTCAGAAGGCCCTTCCAGTTCTAACGGCCTATAGGTCTATGAGTCTCCGTCTTGATTTTTTAAAACATAGATGGGATCCTGTCGGAGTTAAGTGAAGTGAAACTCCTATCAATTTATTAACATTAAAAAAAAGAAAAAGAAATGCCTAGTTGCAAGTAAAGGGTAAAATGTATTAAGTGCGCAAGCGAGCTCTTTGGTTATGCCTACTGGGCCTGATTTTTCCTACAGTGCTGGAAAAGGAAATGCTGCCTTGTGGCAGAGGGAGAGGCTGCAGCAGGTGGAGAGGCTGCCAGGGCCCCTCAGAGCTTGGTTCCTCTGCTGAGATTGAGGGAGCGGACCAACGTCCATTCCTGGGATGAAATGAGGTCACCACATTCTAGCATAGTCACTGTCCTCTTCCCCTCTTCCCCTCTTCCCCCTCCGCTCCTCTTCCTTAGCCCTGGCTGCATCATTCTGGAATAGATTTCTTTGTTACGTGCCTGTGGCTCTGTAGGTGTCAAATCATTATGATAGAAAAAATTGCTATCTGCAGAACAGACTGAATTAGACAATAATAACTCAGTTTAAGACAGAAAAGATACATCCGAGAGTGATGGCCAAAGCTGACTTAGAAGTATGGATTACTCACGTCAGATGCTTCTGTGGGGCGATAGGAGTTTCCAGGGCCAAGTAACGCTGGATTTGGACCCTACAGGGAGGGCTGCGTTTCTTCCAGGAGCCCCAGGAGAGCTTTTCTGGAGGATAGTAACAGTTAACATTTAGCTTCATTTATCACCTGTGTGCCTTCTCTCATTTATTTCTGCCGACAACCTCGTGAGGCAGGTACTGCCAGTTCACAGAGGAGGAAAGGGAGGCTTGCAAAGGTCAGATCATTTGCCCAGAGGCACATAGCTAGTAAGTGGCAAACGTGGGGTTAAACTTCGGTCTGGCCAAGCTGGGAGCCTGTCAGAGCCAGCGCCTCAGCCCACCTGCAGGATGGAGTCAGCTCAGAGAGCAGGTATTTTCCTGCTGTCCGTCAGTGTCGCCCTAACATTGTCCCATGCAGTTACCCGCCTCTCTCAGTTGCTGTTTGGGGAGCTCAGTTGTACTGCGTATCTTTCCGGGCACTTAGTCTCGGGAGCGTTCACAATAGTTGGCACAGAGCCAGAAATGCAACCTAGTGTCCCCTTTTTCTCATAGGCAGTTTGTAATTTATCTGTTTCAATCAGATCACTTGAAAAACAGCCTAGGAATGAAATGCAGCAACTGTACTGATACCAGCATGAGATATGGCCCCAGCGAGTAAAAAGCTACAAAGATTTAGTCTGTTCAGAAGAGTTTTGCTCTTTTGAAGGTAATGACTAAAGTTTCAATATGATTAATCTTAGAACTGTAAAATATTAAACTGTTAGAGAGGGAAATGACCCTCAAGACTGTGGAGTTAGTGCCACCAATTTACAGACAGGAAACTGATAGGTAGAACTTTGTCCGGGGAGAGTCGGAACCGAAGCAGGGCCTGTGGATTCCCCTAGACAGTCTTCCCCCCATATCATTCTGCCTTCAACTTCTGGTGCCTTTAGTAATTGTAATAACCACCGAGAAAAGCATTTTAAAAAGAGATGACTCTCGAGTTTAAAACCAAGTCTGGTGGCTACTTGTTACCATAGCTATAGACCTGCACGTGCAGTGTGGCAACCGCCAGCCACGTGTGGCTCTGGAGCACTTGAAATGTGGGCATTCCCCCTGAGGAACTAAATACTTTTAATTAAATTAAAATGAAAATGGATAGTCGATTTAATTATTAGGAGACTTTTAAGAATATTTGGAACAACTTGAGTATGTGAATATTGTTCAAATGTAAATTTTATGAAATCTAAATACAGATCATGTATTTCCAATGAAAATATAGAATTCAAATTGAGATGTGTTGTAAGTATAAAATACACATCGGATTTTGAAGATTTAGTGTGAAAACATGTGAAACGTTTCATTAATAATTTTTATACTGATTACACATCAGAATTGAGTTAAATAAAATATATTACTAAAATTAAAAAAAGAAAAAAGATGACTTATGTTCATATATGTAAAGGGTCTCCTGCTGCGATTTTCTTTGACCTGTATCTGAAGGAAAGGGTGACCCTGTGAGAGGAATGTCCTAACACTGAACTTTATTGAGTTTTGCAATCTTTTAATCTTTCTGCTGAGGTCTGAGCACAGAGCATCTTCCTGTTTGTGTGTGTGTGTGTTTAACCCTTAATGGAGTTTTTTGTTAAAGAGCTTTCCAGTGTTGGGTTGTGGGGTTTTTTGTTTGTTTGTTTTTGTCTGTTTTTTGCATGGAGTGGTGAAAAAGTGAATCAAAGTTTGACGTCAGTTTTGTTTTTACTTAACTAAGGAAGGAAGAAAGGGGTAATTCTGTGAGAATACCACTAGTGTAATATGTTTCTATCATTTTGCTCATTTGTTCTTTGCTTTTGAAAGCTTTGTGTAAACGTTTCTGGACATGACTGTTGCTCCCAGCCAGGTGGGCTCAGTTCCTTGGGTGCTCACTAAAGTACAGTGCTCTTCCCTGTGGTACCCTCAGAAAAGATGCTTCTTAGACACCTTGGCTCCTTGAGTAACGTTCAGTCTTCATCCTTGTCATTAACTGTATATGTTTCTCGCCTGAGCAGGGTCCACAGCCATGCGGCTGTGTAGACAGAGATAACTGGTCCTAGCACCTCTTCCCTTCGAGCCTGGGCTTGGCTTTGGGATTTTCACCATAGCATTTCAGGGGCCACCACCAGCTTCTTGCAGATGAAACCTGAGGCTTCCTTTCTAAGAGGGATCATATGGGCAGAGCCCCAGGGGGAAGGTCTTCCAATTGATACCATAAGGCTTATGAAAACAGTCACAAAGTTCAAAATTATGCATCAGAGAAAAAATGCATGTGTTTGGGTGACTCTCCCACATTTTGATCCTTGGTGACCTCTTCTCCCAACCCCAGAGCAAAATTAGTCTTTCCTGACTCTGTGCTTCTGGAACTCCTTGCACAGAGCCCTTTTCATAGTCACTTGGAATCTGTTTGGGAATTGCCTCTCGCACGTCCTCTGAGGTAGGTGTAGTACCTTGTTTGTTTTTGTGTCGTCTCACCTTCACTGCCTGGTCTTGAGCGCATGTTTGTCATCTTTATAGAGTTGAATCGAATGGATGAGAAAAAATGCCCATGTGTCACATGGAAGCTGTGAGTGGGTCCCTGGGCCTCCAGGCACTAGTGGGTGCATTTCCACATTTCCTCCACTTCTGCTCAAGATCACTGTGGAGGAGTGAGACTTGCCCAGGCGTCCTGGTGACACTGGGACCACAGTCAGCTCTGCCGTCTGGTAGCTGGTTGGGTGAAAACCTTCCCTTGGCCCTTCCCCTTCTCCTACCCCTAAGACTATGCTTCCTTGGGACTCTAGTGCCAGCTTATTGGGTAAGAGCCTTCTCCCTGTTGGGTTAACACCCTCAGCAGAACTTAGACATCAGATCAATTAGCTAAAAATGAGTAGAGTTCTTAGATTTTGGAAGAGATTTGTGTATGGTGCCTTCATGTACCACCTCCCCCTCCCCCATCCACAATACCTCTTCTCCTTGAAATAGGAATTTATTTATAAGTGATGTAAATTTCTTAATGTAAACCTGGACATCAGGAGAATAAGCTGGTGCCAAGCACAGTGGCAGGATTCAGTCTGCCCCTAGGCTTCTTTTCTTGGGAAGTGTCTGAAGGGACATAATTTTCTTCTGGTGGAGGGCTCCGTGGGCTTCCTTGGCAGACATCATGGAAGCAAAGGCTTTGCTACAATGGAGATGCCTGACTTCACGTCCTTCTGGCGGTCAAGCCCCAGAGGGGCCCTTCGTCACCCCCTCCGAGGTTCCCAGAGAGGCTGCCTGGTGGCAGAGACCTGCATCTGGCCTGCTCCCAGGTGCCAGTGCTCCCACACACCGTCTAAAGCATTTTCTTCTCCCCACAGCTAGCATGCCCACCAGCGAGACTGAGTCTGTGAACACAGAAAATGTAAGTGGTGAAGGCGAGAACCAAGGCTGCTGTGGAAGTCTGTGGTGAGTGTGGGGCCGTTTGCCCTCATTTCCCTTCATATCTCCTAGAGAAGCAGACAGTGAGGGAGACCCCCAAGATTTCAGGGGGAAACCTAGAGCCATTAGCCTTACGTGCAAGAGGGGAGGGCGGGCTCACCCTGAAACCCTCAACACTGTTTCTCTTATCTCAGGCCACTCCAGGCACTCCAGCATTTCACATGCCTTTCCTAAAAATCCCTCCTGCTGAGGTGGAGCCTGTTGAGCGTGCCATTTAACCCAGCAATTCCACTGTGTTCATTAGGTGCTGGTGGAAGAGAAGAGGTGCGGCCAAGGCTGGGCCCTCAGGGTGTCGGCGGTGGGGGTAAAAGGCCTGATTCTCCGTAAACCGTGGTTTTGGCATCAGTGCTTTGGAAGAAAAGCTTGTACGGCAGAGCTGCTGACTAGAATGTGCTACACATTCAAGTTTTTCCTCGCTCATGGGATTTTCCCAGCCTTATGCAAAGCGGCTGGATAATGAGGCCCTGTCCTCTCTGCCCACTGCGCTTTTTCTTTGGGGCACTGCACCTCTCTTCCTAACAATGGAGGACACCATCCCATTAACACGCATTGGTTTTTTTCTGGAGCCCTGATGGCACAGCAGTTAAGCGTTCAGCTGCTAACCGAAAGGTCGGCAGTTCAAATCCACCAGCCGCTCCTTGGAAACCCTATGGGGCAGTTCTTCTCTATCCTATAGGGTTGCTATGAGTTGGAACTGACTGGACAGCAATGGATTTGCTTTTGGTTTTGGTTTGGCTTTTTTCTAGATGGTTTGGGCTGCAGCAGTGAGGTAACCAGCATGGAATGTGCCTAGTACTGCCTGCTTCGGGGGAGCCCTTGTGCAGTTTTATTTATTTATTTTGCTTCCTGCTGGTTTCCTTTTGGCCTCATCTCACAGTTACAGTTTTCAAGAGAATTTGATCTCCTTGGCAGAGTTTTGAAAAAAATAATGTGTTTTGGGCGGGCAGAATGCTCAACAGTTTACAGAGTGACTTTGCCTCTGTTGTCCTGCTCATCCTTCCCTACGGCATCGTGAAGTAGGCAGGGAATCAGTTTGTCTTCCCCGTTTTACAGATGAGAACACTGAGACTCAGAAAGGTGTACTGCTTGTCCATGATCAGCAAGTTAGTGAGTAGCAGAGCTAGGATTTTAACCAGGCTCTTCTCATTCCTAGCCCAGTGCACCTTTTGCTATAGTAGTAACAGATGCTGTTGTTGAGATGAGTGACTGATTTCTAATCAGAAGCCCTGCTGATTTTAGCTGGGAGAATATAGGGTGGGGGGAGAAGAACCCCTGGAATCCCCTCCTGTTGCCAGGGCCCCAGGGAATCTTGCTAAGAGCATTCTCTTGTCTGGGCCACTAAGGTGCTCCGCCTGGCCCGCCTGGCCCGCCTGGCACTGGCAGCACCTCTCCTTGTGTTGCACTCCAACACAGCTGACCTGCTGCAGTAACCGGGAATGCTGAGCCCAGGCTTCTGTGCATGGCTTCCGTGGTATCTCAGCTGCAATACTGGGGGAGATTATGCTCCAGGCTTCCTAATGGGAATCTTATTCTTTTTGTCTTTCTTTCAGTCAAGCCATTTCAAAATCCAAACTCAGGTCAGTATCATCTTTCTACTTTTTTTTTTTATCCCATGTATTGGTTTGTTCCCTTCTAACTTCTGAATTTTACATAGACTTGCTCTAAGCTTGATTTTTACTATAGCGGTTATAACATGGATATCAAAGATCAATCTGTCCGTTAAACATTAAGCACCTGTCTTAGGTGAGAAGTATATTAGATGCTGAAGATCTCCCCCCATAAACGAATCTGTGAAATGCAGTAGAAAACTATTTTCTGCCTACCGATTAACCCTGCATATTCCTTTCCAGAGTAATTTCTCTGATAGAGAGATTTCCTGTCACTTTACTGCTTAATAGCTTTCCGTACACAAGGATTCAAGACATCTTTCTAGGGTGCTGGTAATGTTGTGTTCTTGATCTGGGTACAGGTTACATGTTCACCTGGTAAAAACTCATTGAGCCATCTGCCTGTGTCATGTGCTTTTCCACATAAATGTGATTTTTCAGTTAAAATCAACATTTCACCACCATGTATAAAAATTAACTTTACGTGGACATAGACTTAAGTGTAAACCCTAAAACTATAAAAATTCTAGAAGAAAATAGAAAAATCTTTGTGACCTTGAGTTAGGCAAAGATTTCTTAGATACAACACCAAAAGCACCGTTTAGAACAGAAAAATTGATAAATTTAACTCTTTCTAAATTAAAACACCTGCTCTTTGAAAGACACTGTTAAGAAAATAAAAAGAAAGGAGCCCTGGTGGTGTAATGGTTAAGAGCTTGGCTGCTAACCAAAATGTTGGCTGTTCAAACTCACCCAGCAGCTCCACGGGAGATTATAGTCTAAAAAACCCTATGGGGAAGTTCTAATGTGTCACATGGGGTCCCTGTAAGTCAAAATCAACTTGACAGCACCCAACAACAACAACGCTCTTGTAATCAGGAAAAACATAATAAATGATTTATTTTTTTTTTTAAAAAAGAAAGAGATTGAAAAAAAATACTTGCAGAGCACATATTTAATAAAGGACTGGTATCCAAAATATATAAAGAATAGTGTCAGTAATAAGAAAACAACCCAATTTAAAAAGTGCAAAAGATTTGAACAGGCACGTCTCCACAGAAGAGATATAAATGGCAAATAAGCACATGGGTCGCATGCGAGCATTGTAAGATGCTCGATACCGTTAGTCATTAGGAAAATGCTAGTTAAAACCATAATGAGCTACCACTACAAACCTATTAGAATGGATCAAATTTTTTTAAAAATTTGATGATACCAAGTTTTGACAAAGATGCAGAACAACAGGGATTCTCAGATCTGCTTGTGGAAAAGCAAAACGACACAGCCATTTTTAAAAACAGTTCGGCAGTTCCTTGTAAAGTTAAACGTATGTTTACCACATGACCCAGCAATCCCTCTTCTAAGGTATTTTATCTAAGAGAAATGAAGACAGATGCCTACACAAAAATCTTTTACATGAATGTGCATAATTGCCCAAAACCGGAAATAACCCAAATTTCCATCAAATGGTGACTGAATAAGCAAATTGTGGTTTCTCCATGTGATGGAATACTACTCAGCAGTAAAAAGGAACAACTTCTGATACATGCAGCAACGTGGATGCATCTCAGAAATATTTTTTGCTAAGTGAAAGAAACCAGTCTCTCAAAGGGCTACATATTATATCATTCTGTTCATATTATATTCTGGGTGAAGAATAACTATAGGGACAGAAAATACATCAGTAATGGAGTGGGACTGGGGCTGGAGAGAGTGGATTGATGACAAACCTTTTTGAGTGGTGGAAATATTCTATGTCTTGACTTTGGTGGTGGTTATAAAGTGTCTACCTAAAGATCATACATTCTGTAAATCATATCTCAATAAACCTGACTTAAAGAAAAAAAAGAAAGAGCCCTTCCGTGACTCCTTGTTGCCAGAGCGCACGTAAATCCTTCCTGATCTCGCCTCCGCCTTACCCTCTGGCTTCACCTTTTGACAGCCTCCCATGCTACCCGTTTTGTGGCTGCACTAGACTGCTCTCGGGTTTCAACTGTATCACCCACTCTATTTCTTCCTACCTCGTCACCTTTGGCCATGTGTTCTCCTTGGGGTGGGGTGCCCTTCCCTCTGTCCCCAGAGTAACTCTTACTCAGCTCTCAAGATCTAGCCCAAATGCCAGCTCTTTGGAGAAGCCTCCCTCCCTGACTTTTCCAAAGTGCGTTTGTGGCTTCCTTGTCTTTGCTCCTATCCCCTGCACCCTTGAGATACCACTTGGTGTGTATTTAAAATGGCCGATTTGCCATGATCCTGTATGCCTTTCCAATGCCAGTGCTCAGGAGCTCTGGTCTCCTGAAAGAACAACCCTGGCAGCGTGGGCACTCGGAGCCCAGTGAAGGGCGAGGAGGGGAGTGCGGTGGGATTTCAGGGGATGGGCCAGTGGGGCTACCTGGATTTGGGAGACACGCGTGACTTGTCCCAGAAGCGTAATTGTTGTTTCCAACCCCTCACTCTACCACCCCGGTGGCTGGGTCTAGTTCAGGCCACTTTGCTTGTGTGTGCTGGATTGTGCATCGTAGGAGGAGCCCAGCCTTGACTGAGACAGTCTTCAGTGTCCTCAGTAAAGTTTTTCGAGCCCAGTCATCATGTTTTTAGCTGCTCTGACCGTTGGAACCACATAGCAGGAGCAATAACAAAATGCAGCTTGCTTGTTCCTGGTCTGGGTGCAAAGTTGGCACAACTCTTTTCACAGTCCTGGGTTACAGTTTTTTAGCATAGCAAATCAGCTGAGTCAGCCAGGGCTGCAGCTTGGGCACAGCCTGGAGATGCCCCTCCGCCCAGGCCCCTCGAGGACGTGCCACCCCATTGCCATCAGTGAGCACAGCCTGGAGAGGACTGACATCACCACTCAGCGGGCCCTGGCCTGGGATCCAGAGCGCCAAGAAGCAGCACCTGGCACACTTCGTCAGAGCAGCCCCTTGTAGCAGGGAGCGTTTTCCACAGGGAGACAGACGAAGGGAGAGAATACGTTCCCTAATTACAGGCAGGCACTGGAAGTGGGTGGAGGGCATGCCACTTGTCTGTTTGGCTCAGTTCGTTTTATTTTTATGAAAACACAATTCAATATTGGCTCTTCCCTAAATGTATATTTTGAGCATCATTAGTTAGAAAGGGCACCTGATGACTCAGTTTAAGACTCATGTCCTACTCAGCTTTGACAACTCTGCCAGGCGCCGGAGGAACCTCAAAGATTTAAGAAAGGATTGAAGGTGCCCTAAAAAGAAAACTATGGTTTTGGAGCACTTTGCTGCCTGATAAATTCTATGTGATGATTGGGATGCTGGGGGAGATGTGTATAATAAGCACGATGACTTAGCACTGATAGCTCACACAGATCCATGTACCATATGGTGGGTATATGAAATGCATATGTGTACAGATGCAGTTTTGCATCTGCATATGAATTGATGAATATCTAGATTTTATAACCCATGTGGGGATTGCATATGACAGTTCTAGAGTTATCTAAAACCATAGAAAAGAAACTGATAGAATGATCAATTCAATATCATAGTTTTAAAAGTTGTATTTTAAGACCAATGTCTTTTTTATTATGAGGTCTGTTAATTTCTATGCCATTTGTCCTCTTCTTTCCTTCCTGCACCCCTGACCCCAATCTGGACCTCCAGAGTGAAAGCCAAATTATTTCTCAGTAATGTTTGTAAGACACTCAGGTGCTGCATCTGTCGTCCAGGGAGTAACATTTGCTTCTCTTGCAGCCGACGCTGGCGTCGCTGGAACCGATTCAATCGAAGAAGATGTAGGGCTGCTGTGAAGTCTGTCACGTTTTACTGGCTGGTTATTGTCCTGGTGTTTCTCAATACCTTAACCATTTCCTCTGAGCACTACAACCAGCCTGACTGGTTGACGCAGATTCAAGGTACAAGCAGAGGCCCTTCCCTTTTGGTTCTGAATTAGAGGTTCCTAAGGCTGCCCAGTGCAGTTTAGGCTTACCTGAGCAGTGTTTAATAAAATATGGGAACATTGCCGGCGAGGACTGGAAACTTGAAAGATGGTAGGCTCCGTCTCAACACAGGCGGCTTTCCTCTCTGTGCACCTGGAGCAGGGTGTGGTCTGTGCCATGTGGTGAAGCCCCCTTGAAACCAATTAACGCCATAACATCTCATTGTCCTAACTGTGTGACAACCTAAGACCAAGGAATCTTGGCACTGGGAAAGATCTCATATCCCTTCTCCCTGCCGCCACCGGAAGCTGATTTTTCCCCTATGTACTTTTGACAAGTGGTTGTTATTCCCCAGCAATGCCCTAGCAATGGGGTGAAAGGGAGCTCATCCACGGACACAGCCCATTTTGCATTTGACAGTTTCAAGTTACTGCGAATTCCTTTCTTACATCGAGACAAATCTGCTTCCGTCTAACTTTCCAGCCTGCTGGCTGGTATTTTCTGCTGTTAGAAATGATACTGATGTGTGGCTGCTTCTTATCTCATGGGCCTAGGAGCAAGACCAGGCAGGTCTTTTTTCATGTGATTGATAACAAAAAACATAGCATGATAGTCTAAATGCAGAATTACAGACTTTTAGGCCTAGAAAGCTTCAGAAATTATGTCATAAACCGCCTCTTCCCATTGTATCGGAATCCACTCAATGGCAACTACCAACAACAACCGCATTTTATATTCAGTGAAACTGAGCCCCAGAGACCCCAATGAACTTTCCCACGATCACACATCTAGCCAGCAGTGGAAGCGGGCCTAGAGCCTGACAGACCAACAGACCATAAACATTAGTGGCACACTTTTGCCCAGGCCTGAGATACTGTAACGGGTGCAATAGCAGACAGAGGGGCAGAGGTGCTAGAGGAGATGATGTTTCCTGCAGGGACAGGGGGGAGAAAAGAGAAGTCTGAGCATCCCCACAATGAGATCGCAAGGACATGTGTCCCTTTGTCTTTGCAGATATCGCTAACAAAGTCCTCTTGGCTCTGTTCACCTGTGAGATGCTGGTAAAAATGTACAGCTTGGGTCTGCAGGCATATTTCGTCTCTCTTTTCAATCGGTTTGATTGCTTCGTGGTGTGTGGTGGAATTACTGAAACGATCTTAGTGGAACTGGAAATCATGTCTCCCCTGGGAATCTCTGTGTTTCGGTGTGTGCGCCTCTTAAGAATTTTCAAAGTGACCAGGTAAGGAAAACTGTATCTTGCTGCCAGTGTTTCTGAACGCAACATGGAGACCAGTTCTATCCCCTGGTCACATGATGTTCTGCTCTGTCCTGCACGGGTGTTCCGTGCTCATACCTTTGTCTTGACTTGTAGGCACTGGACTTCCCTCAGCAACTTGGTGGCATCCTTGTTAAACTCCATGAAGTCCATCGCTTCACTGCTACTTCTGCTCTTTCTCTTCATCATCATCTTTTCCTTACTTGGGATGCAGCTGTTTGGCGGCAAGTTTAATTTTGATGAAACGCTAACCAAGCGGAGCACCTTTGACAATTTCCCTCAAGCGCTTTTGACAGTTTTCCAGGTGAGCCCTCCCTTTTGCTCCCTGAAGAGCACATCGTGAGTAGCATCCAAAGCTTCCTTGTCTTCTTGTCTGTTCACAGCTCAATAAGAAGACGTGATTACGTTTCATTAGTAATCTTTGCCTAGAAATACTCTGGTAAATTTTGTGATTTAAGTCATTTGTTCTGCATCATATCCCAACTATCTGTGTGATGTGATTTCATTAAATTGTCTCTTTTTCTATATTTTTAAGTCCACAAGATTTATCACAAAGCAATAAACTGAAACCTCTTTTTTGATTTTGTCAGGCTTCTGAGGTTTCTCTGGGACAGACTCTAAAATCCTCTTCTTCTTTGCTAATTTCTAATTGAAAGCAAGTTTTGTAATCCTGGTTACAGCTGATTCATGGAAAGAAGTGAATCCCGAAGCCCTGATACTTTGGTGTGTAGTCACAGGAATTGGGGTGATCAAAGGGTGGTGAGAGCCTTCTGCCCCCTTTTGTCTTCCTGTGAAGTAACAAGGACTCGCACAGATTCTGAGGATGTCTGTGCTGTCTGGACCTTTGCTGGCACTGGGCTGAGAAAGGGGTGGTAGTGTCTTAGAGGTGCACAGATGGCTCTGCCTCTCTGAGCAGCGTTACGCTCTCCACCCCACCTGACTAGAAGCTTAGGTGTTCTAGACCTCCTCTTTGTGTGGTGTGAACTGAACCTCTTGACAGATGAGTTCAAAGGACACATCTGCTGTCACTGCTTTTCACATGTGATGTTGGTGAACATCAGAACTCTGCCAAAGAGGCAGGACGGCGTGGAGGGAAGGATCGTGGACATCTAGCTTCTATGAGTGTTCTGTCTGTACTCAGTTCTGTGATCTCGGAGAAGTCACTTATCCATTTCTGAAACAATGAGAGACTAGAGAGAATGATCGCTAAGATTCTTTGCCAGTTGGTCATTTTGAAGCATATGGAATTACTGTCAGTGCTATGGGTCATGGTTTTAGTTTTTGAATTATTATTAGTGTTTGGACACTGATCACTTGTTGTTGTTTTGGTCTACTTTCTTTCAGAGAAATCTCTCTCCCACTGTCTCTCTGTAATGCGTGCATATGGTACAAGATTCAAATGTTACATAAGGATATAAAGTGACAAGACTCCCTCCCACCTAGCCACCAATTTCCTCTTCTAGGAGGCAACCACCATCAAACAATTTCTTTTGTATTCTTTCATGTGTATTTGCTCATAGATAAAAATCTGTCTGTCTGTCTATGTTTATGTGTCTGCCTGTCTGTCTACATACCTACCTAACCACCCACCCACCTACCTACCTACAAATGAGTTTACACAGTGGTAGTCACTCAACATACCCTTCTTCATCTTGCTTTTACCACTGAAAGTGTCCTGAAGAGCCCTCCTTATTGGTCTATAAATGTTTGACAACTCCTTTTAAAGACTGCATAAATTCTGTGGCGTGGATGTGCCACAATTTGTAACCAGTCCCCTACTGATAAATATTTAGGTTGTGTCCAGTCTTGTGCTTCCATAAAGGGGGCTGCATAAGTGACCTTGAAGGTACGTCATGTGGTGCTTGGGTAAGAGTAGATCTGTAGGATAAAATCCCAGAAGTAGAACTGCTGGTTTCAAGGGTATGTCCATTTTAAACTTAGATACCATTGCCAAGGTACTGAAGCGTTTATTAATTTACACTCACTCCACCAGCCACATGGAAACTACCTGTGTCCTCACTACCTTTCCACCACAGTGCCTTTCACCTTTTTGATTGTTGTCTGTCTGATAGGTGAAAATGGTACCTCGTCATAGTTTTAATTGGTATTTCTGTTATCAAGAGTGGAGTTAGATGTCTTTTCATATGGCTTAGAGCCGTTTCTAGATCCTTTGCTGTGAATTGTATTATCTTTTCAAGTCCTTTGCTCATTTTTGTTTGGTTGTGATCCGCGACAGTTTTAAAAGTTAAAATACCTAGTACAGATAGGAGATAAAGTAGCTCTCTTTCTCTGGAAAATAGCATTTTTTAAATTATTCTGCATGCTCATTTGATTCTATTTCATGATAAATTGATTTATCAAGTATCATCATCAGTGAAGATTAAATTTGAAATTTCAGGTGGTAGTAGCATCCAGTTTGTAAACGTACGTGCGACATTTAGAATCCTCTGCTTCTGAAGTGTCATATCACAGATAAAATTCTCTACTTCCACAGCTCATTAACTTTGTGGAATATCGTGTAGCAGTTAAAAAGAATTCGATGAACCAACTAACATAGCCCTGGTGGTGCAATGGTTAGGCGCTTGGCTGCTAACTGAAAGGCTGGCAGTTCGAACCCACCCAGTGAGTCCATGGGAGAAAGACCTGGCAATCTGCTTCTGTACAGATTACAGCCAAGAAACCCCTATGGGGCAGTTCTGTTCTGTTACATAGGGGTCTCTATGAGTTGAAAATCTACTCGACAACACCCAACAACAACAGCTGATGTAGAAGGTCTCCAGAGTAAATTGTTGAGTGGAAAAAAAGCAAGTTGTGGAAAATTTTACATAGTACAATACCTTTTATGTTTAAAAAATCAGAGAAGACACTGGCTGCCTGTTTGCTCTGGGTATGTCTGTATGTATGTAAGTGCATAAACAAAGGTCTGGAGAGAGACTCGCCAACAGCAGACTTTCTGGGTATGGGACAGAAAATGGGCTGCGGGTGGAGTCAGAAGGCACGTGTGTCTTACATGTTAACATTTTTTCTCTAGAAGAATTAACTCGTGTATTTGTATAATTAAAAATAATGTTTTGAAAACTCTAGAATTACAGATGAACTTGTTCAGTGTAAAATGGACTGTGAAAGGCAGCTTAAACCAGATTTAGGCAGGTGCTCTGGGAGAGCAACTACGAATGGTGAATCCACCTGCCTGGTGATACCAGTTTTGGCTTCTTAGATTCTGACAGGTGAAGACTGGAATGCTGTGATGTACGATGGCATTATGGCTTACGGGGGCCCGTCCTCTTCAGGAATGATCGTCTGCATCTACTTCATCATCCTCTTCATTTGTGGTAACTGTATCCTTCAAACTGACCAGGGCTGCTTTGTTTTGTTTTTCTCTCTCTGAATTTCCCCGTGGTGGTGGCGGTGGTGGTAGCAGTCGTGGTGGGGAGGTGAACGCCCTTTCCTTGTTAGCTCGACATCTGCTTTTCTTCAGTGCTGCTGTGGGGACAGTGTGGTGTAAGCAGAACTCCAGTTAGGTTTTGAGGAATGAAAGCTGGCCAAGTGAAGCAAGTCAGGGGAAGGAGCATGAGACAACTCTTGTGCTGGGTGAGCATCCAGCTCAAAGTCCAGTCTCCTGTGTGGGCCTCAAGGGATGGCTTAAGGCAAGGCTAAATTACCTGTTCTCCATGTCATCACCCTCAGGAGGTTGAGGCTACATCTGTGTCTTCTTAAGAGGCTTCATAACTTATGGGCACCATCCTTGATGGAGTAATCCAAGCTCTCCTGAACCTAATTTCTCTTTGATGATCCGTTTGTCTTTTGGGGTCAAGTGCCCATTGGCTAGCTGCCATATCATGCTGGGTAAATTTTCTGTGATGCGTTTTCCCTGCCAAGAGGCTCCCTATAATTCTAGACCTCTGAGATCTGTTTCAGATCTCTGTTTACCCTGGTCCAGGCCTTTCATGACCCTGTAACCTTTGTTCGTGCCTGTTTTATCTATTTTCCATGTCTAGCACAAGACGTGGCATACAGAGGCCCTCAATAAATTTTCGATGAATGAGTGATTGCACAGACATATAAATACTACCTCTTGGTCTTCACCCTTCCGTTTTAAAGAGTCCTAATCTGAATTCTTCTGCTAAAGAGTCCCACATTTCTACAGCTGTTTTCCCCCTTAATCTTCTCTTACTTGTTAATGAATTTTCTTCAGTGTGGAAACCATAGTGCAAACCTGCCCTGATTTTCTCCACGGACAGTACTATGTGCTAAAGGTATTCTATGGAAACTCCCATCTCAACACACATAAATCCTATAATTCTGTCTTAGTTATCTGGTGTTGCTATAACAGAAATACCACAAGTGGTTGGCTTTAACAAAGAGAAATTTATTTTCTCAGTTTAGGAGGCTAGAAGTCCGAATTCAGGGTGCCAGCTCCAAGGGAAGTCTTGCTTTCTCTGTTGGCTCTGGGGGAAGGTCCTTGTCATCAATCTTTCTTGGTTGAGGAGAGCATCTCAGCACAGGGACCGCAGGTCCAAAGAATGCGTGATTCTCCTGGCTCTTGTCTCTCTGCTGGCTTCTCTCTTTTATATCTCAAAAGAGATTGACTTAAGACAAAACCCAGTCTTGTAGATTGAGTCCTGCCTCATTAACATAACTGCCTCTAATCCTGCCTCGTTAACATCATAGAGGTAGGATTTACAACATGTAGGAAAATCACATCAGATGACAAAATGGTGGACACTCACACAATATTGGGAATCATGGCCTAGCCAAGTTGACACGTATTTTTGAGGAGCACAGTTCAATCTATGACAAAGTCTTTCAACTCAGCTCTAGTGCCCACTCCTCTAGGGAGCCGCCTCTGCCCTGTCTCCTGCCCAGAGATGAGCTCCGCCCTGAGCTGAGTTCTCATCAGACTTTACCCATATGTCTCTCACTGCACATAGGTTCTGCCATGTATTGAACTTTGGGGTGGGTGCTTCTCCATCCTTCTAACTAGATAAGTGTCTTGAGACAGGAATCTTTTCTTTTTCACATCACTCATCACTTGCAATACAGGATCGTACATGTAGTCAGCCCTTGGTAAACATTTGTTAATTGAGTGGTAAGTATTTTCTTTTTCTGCTCTCCACATGATTAACTCTTTTGGCCAAGCAACATACTGGACTTAAGTCTGCAGAGAAGTATTCCCTGGCTACTCTATCCTGTTACATGTTATGTTTTCTTTGTAGCACGTGTCATTGTCTGAAATGTTTAAATAGTTGTTAATGTTCTGTCTCCCCCGACTTGAATGAGCACTCCTTGGGTGCTGGGACTCCAGTCAGTCGTGTTTTCTCCTGTCTCCCCAGCAGAACCTGGCACATCAGAGGGCCTTGGTAGATCTCTTTGAATGAATTCCAGGGCACAACAGTATTTAGGAGAGTCTGCAACGTGTCTTTAAATGCAGATGATGGGTGTTCGTTCATCTTGGAAACCATCTGTTATAAGTTTGCAAGATTTTCCTGTAGTTTATTACTATCCAAAAGAGGTTAGTGTCATTATAAGGCTAGAGGTAATTATTTCTTCATTGAGATCATTGATGAGAATACTCAATAAAGTTAGTCCTAGCACTAGTTTCTATTTTAGGTCACCGTTACCCCACGTCCGTCCAGAGGAGTCTCATGTTACCAAGCCACTTCCCAGCCCAGGAGAGATTGCTTCCCTAGGCTCATTGAAGCTCCATTTAAAATATAGTCTAGCGTATCAAAGGTGTTTTGAAAGTCTAAATATAATTCTCTCACATTTTTATCCTCTTTAAAGTCTTGAGTAGATTAGTCAAGCATGACATCCCATCTCAGATGTCTCATCATCAGTCCTCTGTTAGGTTATGTTTGTTTATGCATTCAGCAAACCCCGCCTGAGACTTCAGATTGCACAGGTCTTGTGCTATAGTGGAGTGCCTCTCCTGTCTTGGGGCCCCTGGGCTCTGGCAGTCTTGTGTGCAGGTGCACTGCATCCTCCTGAGAGAAGCCTTAGAGAGAGGGGCCATTTTGACTTACTGCCCTCTGATCCCTGCACTTCTCAAAAGTGTACTTAACTGCTGGTGAGTCAGAAGCAGCCTTCTTTTGATTTGAGCACCTTGCTCAGGATACTTTTTTTAGAACATTCTAGGGAACCAAGCCTACAACTTTATAGTAAGAGCTAAAAACCTGATAACCAGCTGTTCAATCACCTAACTTTTTACTGTTTGTAAAAACGAAATTCAAATACCACAGTCAAAGATTTAGCCCCAGTGGGTGTATTCAAAAGAAGAGTCTAGCATCATCTGGCAGTAAGTCAAGCATATTATAGAGAGTCAATAGTTGAATGAATGAGTTATCTGTAGACTCTGAAGGCTACTTCAGACAAGAAAGTCTCAGGCTGTCTTGTGCAATGGGATCATTATTTAAATAATGTGCAGCCTTTGAGGGGTCTATTTTGAAAGAAAAGGAGCCTGGTGGCAAAGTGGTTAAGCACTCAGCTGCTAACTGAAAGTCAGTGGTTTGAACCCACCGGCTGCTCTGCAGGAGAAAGATGTGGTATTCTGCTTCCATAAAGATTTACAGCCTTAGGCAGAGCCAACGTGGCACTATAAACAGAAGTACCATGCCATCCCTCCACAACAAAGACCTGGAAAACTAAGTAAAACAGACCAACGTCAATCCTGGAACCCTAAGCATCAAATGAAGAGATAAAGAACTCAACCAAACACTGAATGGAATAAGAAACTGACAGAGAACAAGGAGAGTTACGAGCGGAGGTCCCTTATCAGCTAACGAAGCACGGATCCACCATCTTGGACTCCCGTTAGAGATCGGCGTACAAGGAGTATGGGAAGGCAGATTCATGGAGCTTCCAGCAGGAGACAGAGCACCTGGTAACCAGCGAGACACACTTTCCTACCCCTCCCCCCACTCAGCCTTCGCCGCTTCCCAGCTGGCCAATCCTCAGCTTCCTGGTGGGATGATTCCCGGCTTCCCAGAGGGCTGAGCCCCAGCTTCCCAGCAGGCCAATTCCTGGCTTCCCAATGGGTGATCTGCTGCTTCCTGGCGGGCCGATCTGCAGCTTCGCGGCCGAGTCGCCACTTCCCAGCGGGCAGAGACCAAGGCATGGGAGGCACCAGTTCCGTGCTGTGTGAATTCACCCTGCACACACCAGCTGGCTTTTTCACTGCCATTTCTTTGCTGCTGGTTTTGTTTTTTTTTTGGCTTCTTCCCTGCCCTTCACCTCCTCCCCCTCCTTTCTCTTGAACACCTGACTCCATGTGCCATCTTTGCTGCTTCTTGACAGGCTGTGAAGTGCCGCTTGGCTGGGGAACTGTTTCCCTGGTCCATGCCACCACACTGGTGGGATCCCTGGGGGCTTTTTTTCTTCTTTCTTCTTTTTTTTTTTTTGTTTTCTCTTTCTATTTTCCATTTTATTCTCCTTCTTTTCTGGGTTTCTTGTCTCTTTCTACTTACCTTCTTTTTCTGTCTCCTGAATACCTGGCGTGGTGTATCATCTCCACCTCTTCTAACCTGGCTGTACTGAGTGGCTTGGGAGCTGTTGCCTTGGTCTACGCAGCCACACCAGTGAGATCCCTGGGGGCTTTTTAAAAAAAAAATTTTTTTTCCTTTTTCCTTTTTGTTTTTCTTCATTTCTCGGTTTCTCGTCTCTCCACTCCAACAGCAGGCTCCCTCAACACTTTATTTTTTTTTTTTTTTTTGGCTCCTGTTTCTCAATTCCTCTCTCTCTTCTTTCCCATACTTAACCTACTCCACACATCACAACCTCCCCTCCCCCTCCCTCCTGCCTATCTGCACCGTATGCTGAACATTGCGCTCTTGATCAGCACAGGCATGGCCTACTGGAAGCTGCCCTACACTGACCCCTGGATCACCTTATGGGCCCCAGTATGTGCCACAAAAAACCCATCCTAGTCCTTCCCCTTCAGCTGGACTTGCCCTGCTGCACCACAGCCGAGTGACTGGCCCTGCCGGTTGGACAACGAGGTGAAAAATATCATGTCTGCAGATGAGCAAACAACACAGAATGCACAGCCTGCCTGCTCAGACATAACTAAATAGAACAAAAAAGCAGCATGAAACAAACAAATCTACAATCAATAAATGAAGAAAATAACTACTGAATGTCCCAAAGACAGCAGACAATATCAAAACACATGAGAAAAACAGGACAGGATGGTTCCATTAGGTGTCCAAAATAAAATACCAGGTGACTTTCCAGTAGAAAAAAGGTAGTAGAACTACCTGATAGGGAATTCAAATCTCTAATATTCAGAGCTATCCAAGAGTTGAAGCAAAAAGCAGACAAAAATGAGGAAAAAATAGACAAATTCATGAAAAAGGCAGGTGAATTCATGGAAAATACAGACAGTCCTAGCTGGAGCAATAAGGCAAGAAAAAGAAATAAAGGGCATCCAAATTGGTAATGAAGAAGTAAAACTGTCCCTATTTGCAGATGATATGATACTATATATAGAAAACCCAAAAGACTCCATGAGAAAACTACTGGAAGTAATAGAAAGATTGAGCAGAGTAGCAGGATACAAGATAAACATACAAAAATCGGTTGGATTCCTATATACCAGTAAAGAAAATGACAAAAAGGAAATCAGGAAAACAATACTATTTATAATAGCCCCTATAAAAGTAAAATACTTAGGAATAAATCTAACCAAGGATGTGAAAGACCTATACAAAGAAAACTATAAAACACTACTGCAAGAAACCAAAAGAGGTCTACATAAATGGAAAAGCATACCATGCTCCTGGATAGATAGGCTCAACGTTGTGAAAATGACAGTTCTATCCAAAGCAATCTACAAATACAATGCAATCCCGATCCAAATACCAACAACAGTCTTTAAAGAGATGGAAAAAAACAATCATTAATTTTATATGGAAAGGGAAGAGGCCTCAGATAAGTAAAGCACTATTGAAGGAGAGTAATAAAGTAGGAGGACTCACACTACATGACCTCAGAACCTACTATACAGCTGCAGTAGTCAAAACAGCCTGCTACTGGTACAATGACAGGTACATTGACCAGTGAAACAGAATTGAGAACCCAGATGTAAATCCATCCACCTACAGTCACCTGATCTTCAACAAGTTCCCAAAGTCCATCAAATGGGGAAAAGACAGTCTTTTTAACAAATGATGCTGGCAAAATCAGATGTGCATCTGCAAAAAAATGAAACAGGAACCATACCTCACACCATGCACAAAAACTAATTCAAAATGAATCAAAGACCTAAATATAAAACGAAAAACTATTAAAGATCATAGAAGAAAAAATAGGATCAACGGTAGAGGCCCTAATACACAACATTAACAGGATATAAACCATAACTAACAACATACAAACTCCAGAAAATAAACTAGATAACTGAGATCTTCTAAAAATTAAACACTTAAACGCTCATCAAAAGACTTCACTGAAAGAGTAAAAAGAGAACCTACAGACTTGGAAAAAAAAATTGGCTGTTACAAGTCCGACAAAGGTCTAATCTCTAAAATCTACAGGAAAATCCAACACGTCTACAAAAAAAGACAAATAACCAGTTAAAAAATGCGCAACGGAAATGAACGGACACTTCACCAAACAAGACATTCCAATGGCTAACAGACACATGAGAACATGCTCGTGATCACTGGCCATTAGAGAAATGCAAATCGAAACCACAATGAGTTACTATCTTAGCCCGGCATTACTGGCACAAATTAAAAAAAAAAAAACAACAGAAAATTACAAATGTTAGAGATGCTGTGGGGAGATTGGAACTCTTATGCACTGCTGGTGGGAATGCAAAATGGTACAACCATTTTGGAAAATGATATGGCACTTCTTAGAAAGCTAGAAATAGAAATACCATATTATGATCCAGCAATCCTACTCCTAGGGATACATCCTAGAGAAATGAGAGCCGTCACACGAATTAACATATGCACACCCATGTTCTTTGAAGCATTGTTCACAATAGCCAAAAGATGGAAACAACCTATATGCCCATCAACAGATGAATGGCTGAACAAACTATGGTACATACACACAATGGAGTACTACGCAACGTTAAAGAAAAATGATGAATCTGCGAAGCATCTCACAACATGGATGAATCTGGAGGACATTATGCTGAGTGAAATAAGTCAATCAAAAGTACAAATATTGTATGAGACCACTACTATAAAAACTCATGAAGAGGTTTACACACAAAAAGAAACAATCTTCTATGGTTATAAGGGAGGGGAGGGGTGGGGGTAGAAAAACACTAAATAGACAATAGATAGGTGTAACTTCGGTGAAGGGTAAGACAGTACACAGTACTGGAGAAGCCAGCACAACTTGTTCAGGGTAAGGTCATGGAAGCTTCATGGACAAATCCAAACTGTCTTAGGGACTGAATTACTGGGCTGAGGGCTGTGGGGACCGTGGTCTCAGGGAACATCTTGCTCAATTGACATAACATAGTTTATAAAGAAAATGTTCTACATTCTACTTTGGTGAGTAGTGTCTAGGGTCTTAAAAGCCTGTGAGGAGCCACCTAAGATACTCCAGTGGTCTCACCCCTTCAGGAGCAAGGGAAAATGAAGAAAAGTAAAGACACAAGGGAAAGATTAGTCCAAAGTACTAATAGACCACAACTACCATAGTCTCCACCAGACTGAGTCCAGTACAAGTAGATGGTGCCCAGCTACCACCACTGACTGCTCTGACAGGGATCACAATACAGGGTCCTGGAGAGAGCTGGAGAAAAATTAGAACAAAATTCTAACTCAAAGACCAGACTTACTATCCTGACAGAGACAGGAGAAACCCCAATAGTATGGACCCTGGACACCCTTTTAGCTCAGTAATGAAGTCACTCTGGAGGTTCACCTTTTAGCCGAAGATTAGACAGACCTGTAGGACAAAACGAGACTAAAGGGGCACACCAGCCCTGGGGCAAGGACTAGAAGGCAGGAGGGGACAGGAAAGTTGGTAATAGGGAACCCAAGGTCAAGAAGGGAAAGTACTGATGTGTCATGGGGTTGTTAACCAATGTTATAAAACAGTGTATGTACTAACTGTTTATTGAGAAGCTAGTTCTGTAAACCTTCATCTAAAGTATAATTTAAAAAAAATTTTTTAAAAATCATTAAATCAGATAAAGTACATCCTTTTTATTAAGTGTCCTTCAGACTTTGTGTGGATTTAACCACGTTAAAACTGTGGCCAAAGACATTCTAAATTGTGGAATGGTGGCAGATAGTTGAAAGAGATCTCTTGGTTGGCATTTTGAAGAATATTTTCTTATCCTCTTGGAGGGTCTGTAAAGCACATTTCAAATTGCCATTTTGAATTCCTATACTTTTTCTTTAATTAAAAAATTTTAATTATAGCCAAAAGCTATTTGCTGGAATTGTGTAAAAATGTTTACAGATGCCTTAGGAAGAAAACAGCAGAATGTGAAGCTAATTGTGTTGATTCAAAATAATTATGAAACACAAATGACCATTACTTATAGCAAGTCCCCTGACAATTAGAGGTTGACTCCAGGGATCAGCTCAAATGAAGGAAAAAAGAAAAAAGAGAGAGCAGTGGTATATTTATGTGGCAATAATCAAACTAGAAAATATACCCTATCCTGAAGTTAATAAAGTTCTTTGATGACATTTTGTTATTTGATTTATTTGAGCTGTTTTTAAATTAAATACAGCTATTTTTTAATAAGCTTAAAAAAAAAAGATTTACAGCCTTGGAAACCCTATGGGGCAGTTCTACTCTGTCCTGTAGGGTCGCTGAGTCAGAATTGACTCAACAGCAATGGGTTTTGGTTTTAGACACCTTGTTTATATTATAGATAGCTAACTAAAAGGTTGGCAGTTCAAAACCACCAGTGGCTCTGTGGGAGAAAGATGTGGGAGTCTGCTTCCATATTTACCCCTCCAAAACCCTATGAGGTCACTGTGAGTTGGAATCAACTTGATGGCAGTGGGTAAACAATGTGTATCATAGCTATACGCACACATATGCTTGTAACTACATGCACACACACATAAAGGGGAATGTTTATAGGTTTTCGTAGGCTTTAGGGAATCTTAATTTTACTTCTTTACAGACTGTCTTCTACAGGTTTCTAGTTTTCTTGAAAAAAACAGTTTCTCATAGCTCTGATTCTCTGGTTTTACCAAGCGAATAGCCCTAGGGACAGTCACCCGCTACTGGCGCCTCCCGGAACACAGAGGGATATGACATTGGCATTGTTGGCCGTAATGCAGCTGCCTTTGGACATGTGTTGTACCCTTAAAATTTTCAAATTAGATATTCTACTGAATGTCTTCTTGGCCATCGCTGTAGACAATTTGGCTGATGCTGAAAGTTTGAACACTGCTCAGAAAGAGGAAGCTGAAGAAAAAGAAAGGAAAAAGATTGCCAGGTAACCCCATTTTCACCTGAGGTGTTTGCTGATGGGTTCTCCTCGGGAGCCCTCTCAGGGAACCCAGCCACAGGTAAGGCCTGGCCTGTTTTTGGCAGAGTCACTTATACTCCTTAATAGCTGCAGCCCCCATGTTGCTGCTTTGCAGTGATTGTGGGGACCGTGTTGCAGACCAGAAAGGATGGACGGAAGCCAGGCCGTGGGCTCTCATTCTCAGAGCTGAGACCGGGAGTGCACATCCCCATGCCTAAACAAATGCTGCAGTTAATTTTGGCATCATAAAATAAATGATGCATTCAGTGCTGATTAGCTCTTGGGTGAGAATTTTAATAAGATGGTCTGTGTAATGAATCCAGTGAGCTGAGATTAACAGGAAGCTCTGAGTTCGGGTCATGCCATGTTCTTGCTGTTTAGTGTTGTTTTCAATTAAGTTCTGTCCTTCATCAGGGCACTGTTGACTCAGAATCTTGATTAGCATTTTTATATATAGCAATATGGTTATTTGATTCCTTGTGTTCTTTTCTTTTCTCTGTAGAAAAGAGAGCCTGGAAAATAAAAAGAACAACAAACCAGAAGTCAACCAGATAGCCAACAGTGACAACAAGGTATTTATTCTAAAATACTTCTCCCCCTTATGATTCGCAGTGATTCAGTCCAGTGGATAGCTCCATAGGAGTTTCATTTGCACCACGAACATGGCCTGTGTGATGCCTCATCATGAGTGTATGGAATGCCGTGTAGACAAGTTCTGAAGGATTATGATTGAATTTAGGCAGTCAGCTGGTTGTTGAACCAATATTTCACCAGAGAAACAGTATGTTAAATACTTGACTGATTTGATGACTTATTTTTTCTTTATTGGAAGTGTGTGGTCAGGATGATGTTAGCATCTCCTAGGGGATTAAACTTAGGGATTATTACTAGGTGTCTGTTCCCAGAGGTGAGCTGAGAATCAGGTGTCAAACTTTATTCCACCAAGGACAGCTCTGGGTTTTTCATTCATTTTTTCACTGAGTCAGTGGCTACTGTGAGTCAGGCACTGAGAATTCAGGAGTGAACAAGACTGACAAGGCCCCTGCCTTCATGGAGCTCACAGTCTCATAGGGAGACAGGAAACTGAAATGCAGTTATCATGCGGTGTGTGTGACAAATACTGGGATAGGAAAAGGACCGGGTGCTTCTTGGGGCTGGTTAACCTGACTGAGTAGGGGTCATACCAGGTTTCTTCATCTGCCCTCTTCCCCTAGACCTTCTGTCTTAAGTAGAATCACCATCTTGGGGACATCTGCCTGTCCCTACACACTTGCACACAGACACATACTTCGGAGGGAACTTCTCTGCCCTGTGCTGAGTGGCTGACTTGATTCTTCACTTTGTTTCTCCAAAGTGCATTTAGTCAGTCTCCCCTTCTCTCAAGACATCTCTTTCATCCTAGGTTACAATTGATGACTACCGAGAAGAGGATGAGGACAAGGACCCCTACCCACCTTGTGATGTGCCAGGTATGGTAGTGGAGACCAGAGATGGGCTCTCAGCTCATGAATGACGTGGCTTTACCACGACGCTGTGATCAGCTGCTGTGTCTGTGGCTAGCTAGCCCAGCTGGGGCACACACTGGGATACTGAGGCGACTGAGGTCATGGATCCTGTCTCTCTGGGGACTAGCTAACTCCATTTTTTCCTTGGTCACAGGCAGCATATGTAACACACGTTCCAGGTGATGAGGAGAGAAAGTGTGAATGGAATAGGGCGAGCCCAACCTCTGTGGGGAAAGCTCTCTAGGAGGCAGCCTAGAGTCTAGAAGGTTCCTGTTCAGCCAATAGTTTCACTAACTTAGCTGATTTAGGTGGTACTGGGGAGTCTGGGGGACTGATCGTAAGTGACCTTGATGTCCCATAGAAAGTTTTTCAGGCAAAACTGAGCAAGAAGGCTACTGGGGAAATAGCCAGCTGCTGGGAGAATGGCTGTGAGAATCCCACCACTGCCACCTTTTACCTGTAGTCAGATCTTAAACTAGTTGGTAGCCTCATTCCCACAACTAAGCACAGACCAGATGGGGACACTTCTCAGCACCCTTCACACTCTCAGTTCATGTTCTGAGGAAGCAGAATGGCTTTGATTAATGTATGCTGGTAAATGCTGTTAAAGTTTAAGCTGAATTTTAATGTCAAATTGAGAAAAATAAACCCAAGTGCAATCATTGTGTATTTTATGCCTATTAAAAAAAAATATTTCATTTAAAGTAGGGGAAGAGGAAGAGGAGGAGGAAGAGGATGAACCTGAGGTCCCTGCTGGTCCCCGTCCTCGCAGAATCTCAGAGTTGAACATGAAAGAGAAAATCATCCCCATCCCTGAAGGAAGCGCTTTCTTCATTCTTAGCAAGACCAACCCGTAAATACACCCTTTTCAGCCCCATCATGACACGTCTCACTGTGACCCCACACAGTTGTGTGAGGGAGGCTGGGGATGAGATGAGATGAGGGAAAGCAGCTCACAGCCCCTTCTGAACCTGAGCATCTCCAGAGCCCCCACCCCCACAACCAAGTTTATTTCAACCCTTCTGCTGCTCCTGCCTTGCTGTACCCTTCTGTTCATCTCTACCTAGCCTTCTCTTTCCTGGACAAAGGGGCTGAGGTGTGACAAGGTTCTGGGAGGAGCTCACTCAAGATTCCCCTCCTCCCCTAATCCTGCACCAGGGAGAGCAGTGGGGAAATACTTTATGCTCATCAAGATATTCTAGTTGGAGCCCACTGCTCTGGTGTTTGTGTATTGTCACCTGTGAAAACACTTTCCATCCCATAGGACTCTTTTCTAATGAGTGGGTCTTCTGCTCAGATGCTTTGTGGATGAGAATTTTGTGACCAAGTTCTGCACAGCATCTTCTTCCTGAGACCCACCCTATTGAGTTTTATAATGATAAAGTAATATTGCTCAATAATATTTTATAGGTTGTAGCTATTCGAGTCCGGTCTATGATATTCTACTCGAAATAGCATTTCTCATATTAAAACGATGAGGTGCTCACCAGGAACATGGTAATTATTCATAAATACTGTAAGAGGGAGAAGTTGATTTACTAGCTGGTTTCTAGGTTTTAAATCATCTGGGATTGAGTGAAATGCCAGAGGGAATAAATGGCTCCTGGGAAGGTTTCTAGAATGGCAGAGAGAAGAACTCTGTATAATTCACAGGCCCTAGGGAGACCTGGGTCGGGGAAGCAGGGCATGCTGGAGCCTTTCGAGACTTGAAGATTTGATGGTAGTTTTTTACAGCTCATCACTGCTAGGAGTTTGGGTATGCCTTTAAAATAGGTTATTAAACCGATGTTACTGACACCTGTGCCTCACTGTGTATACATGTATTGAAGGAATGGATTGATTTTCTCCTAAAGCTGTGAGCGCTCCTGCCCTCACTGCCTTGGAAGGGTTCCCCAGGCTCAGCTGCTAATTAGCTGGCAGGCATCCCAGGGGGTCCATCTCAGCATTAAGCAGCCCCAAAATGGAGGATTTCAAGTGAGGGCTTGCTTCCATATAAAGTTGACTCTGGGTTTTTTTTTTTTTTTTTTTCTTTTTTTTTGGTGGTAAATATATGCGTAACAAGTAATTTGCCATTTCAACATTCTTCACATGAACAGTTCAGTAATTCAGTGACATTAGCTATGTTTATCATGTTGTTCAACCATTGACCCCAGTTTTGAAGATGAAAAAAAAGTTTTCAAAGAAAAACCTACATGTATTCTATAGACAAAATAAGTCTTTAAATTCTAAAGTCAAGTATTAAGCTTAAGGCTAGCCCAACAGGACATCAGGTAGCACACAGAGACTTCACTGGATCCCAGGCTCTGTGGTGCTGGGCACACACGCTGCCCTTCCTTCCCTTACAGGACCCAGGACTCTGTGAGAATTGGAGCACACACTAGCGCACAGTGCCATAACATCTTTGCGTGTTAGCAAAGGATGTAACTTTCACTTAACTTTCTAAGAAGTATTCATTGGAGGTCAACTCCAAAATAATAATAAAAAAAAAAAGAATAAAAACATTTATGATGAAATCTCCACATAATACGAGATTTCACCAAGCCTCACTTATTGTAAATCATATATTAACACAGCCAAACTGCAGTATGGGAAAGGGAATTGTCTCGTTCTTTGTGAACTGTTGAGATGAGGTCTAACCTCGATCTCCTTTCTAGAAGAACGAAAACTAAGCAGTTGGGCTTCATATTATAGTGGAAAACGTCAGAGTCAGATAAAACTGAATGGGAAATCTTCCCCTGGTCCTTAGTAGTTGTGTTACCTTGAGAAAGTTCTTTCATCTCCTTAAACCTCAGTTTCCCTATCTTTAGAAGGGTGATACCCTGCTTTGAAGGACTAAATGCAGTGGTCTCCGTAGAAACCCCAGCAGAGAGCCAGTTGTACTACACACTCTCGGGAACTATTGTCCTTGGGTTTCATAGGGCAAATGGTCAGGATTCAGGTTTGCATGGGTAGGGACGTGGGTGGCATAGCAGACAGCTCTCATTGGCCTGATCTTTTGCCAGAGTGGCCCTACACTCTTAAGGGTCCCCAGAGGCTAGAAGTGCTTGCCTGTCTGCTTGAACCCTATCTGGGACTGTGTCCAGTCCATGCAGAGGCTTTTCCCCTGCAGGATCCGCGTCGGCTGCCACAAGCTCATCAACCACCACATCTTCACTAACCTCATCCTCGTCTTCATCATGCTGAGCAGCGCTGCCCTCGCCGCTGAGGACCCCATCCGCAGCCACTCCTTCCGGAACACTGTAAGCTGCCGACAGGAGAGGAGGGTGGCGCTCACTCTGGGATCTGTGCTGGCCTTGGCTTAAGCAGAGGCCGTCATCAAGATAGGACCTCCAGAGGCCCATGAAGCTGAAAACTAGAGTAGGCTTCTCGTTCGTCTCAAGACGTTCTATATTTGAGGTCTGTAAGCGCCAGGGAGGTTTCATTTTATCTGGACAAATCTTTACTGAATTATTTATTTTAAACCTCATTTTAAATGCTCTGCAGTAATTTATGGTATACTCAGGACCCCTGCTTCTCTTCCTCTTTATCCCTTGTTGCCAACATTTTGGTCCCTCTTTCCCCTCCCCAGTCAAATTGACACCCACGTTTATTTTGAGATTTCTTCGCCCTGGAAGCATACAGGAGGGAGAGAAAATAAAATTGCACCAGGTATGTCAGGTGCCCAGAAACCTCTTATTGAGGGGTGGTGGAGGCTTAAAGGAGAAAAGGCTCTTAATAAAGCACTTTCGGCTCCATTTACTGAGGAGATCATGGGATGTTGAGTTGAGTGGTTCCATGGAGAGGAAGAACCATAGGTTTTTATGCGGCAAGAGGTGCTTCTACTAAGGGAACAAGTAGAGGGTAATTATTATTATTATTAATTTAGGAATAGTGCCCTTCCACTGCATCCATGTTGGAAAGAAACTTGCATGCATGTTAGTTCTTGCTTAAGCAGTCCCATCTTAGCAATTGAGCTATGAAGTACTGAGAGAAATCCAAAGGAGAGACAGCTTCAGAAGGCTAGCAGCCTGTTGACTCTCTGGCCTAGATACTGTAGTGCAGCTTCAGGTTATTATCCAGAAAACCTCCCAAGAGAGGGGGCTCAGCAAGTGCGGAGACCACCAGCTGTGGCTGCCTTGCCTGATTTGCGCTTCTTTCTATAATCAGATCTTTAGAGATTTGAGGGTTAAAACAAGTCATTAGATCAGTGCCCCCAGGATTTCTGTCATAAGAACAAAGTCTCATGTCTTTCTGTGTTGCCAGTGCTCTTCGTTTTGAAGCCTGGCAAATCTAATCTATCAGACTGACAAAACATGCACTCTGATACGAAGAAGATAAAAAGAACTTTCCCCGAGGTGACTTGTTGGTGTAGATGTGAAGATGAAGGCCCCTGAGCCTTAGACTGTACTTCACAGATGAGGACTTTTGATAGAGGCTCCCAAGGCCGTCTCTGTCTGAACATTCAGATGGAACAGAGAGCTCTCGGTCATCGAGTCCCATCCTGAAAATCAGGGACAAAGGGGAAAAACTATTCGGGAAAAAATATCATCAGGTGACAGCTTAGGCCAGGAGCTGGTGTAGACTACAGATTGACAAGGAGTTCGTTTACATTGGGACCTCATGGTCTTAAAATTTTTAATCACAATAACTTCTTAGTTTATTTCCCTACTACTTTTTCCCAAGAGTGTTGTTGTTCCTTTTGAATAGATGTTGTACACATGTGCATGTGTATTATTTTTTAAAGCATGGCAGTGTTGTTTTTTTTTTAACTTTGGCTGAGTTCTTAGTGTAAAAGAGAATGGAAGAGAGGGGGAAGAACTACTTAAATCTAAGAACTTTGACTCCTAGGCCTCACGTTGTTGACTTGTAGGCAGCAGTGTTTTTCTCGACTACCCAAGTGCTTTTAACATTGATAGCCTTGCTGTGACCCAGGAGGGAATAAGGAGGAAGCGGCAGGGTCCTGATAGTGTACTGGAAAATACCTTCTGTTGCCTGGCCAGGAACACAATACCCAGAAGTGTTCAAGCCAATCTTACAAACCCAAAGGCAGAAACGATTGGGAAAATGATACCCTCTGAAGAGAGAACTTTGTCTGAGGAAAGCTGGGCTTTGAAGCAAAGGTCATCACCTTACTGTAAAAGAAATAGTAAAGGACTACCCTCAGGTGGATCACATACTTAAAACGGGGCCCTGTGGCTCTAGAGTGGCATTTGAGAGTCCTAAGTGTTCGCTCAGCAATGCCTATAACTGGCTGTGTGGCCTGAGCAGGTGCCCCCCTGCCGCCTTGTCCCCAGAGTTCACATCTATTCAATGAAAAGAGTTGGCTTGGGTTGTCTCCATGGTCCCTTCCTGCTTTGATCTCTTCAATTCTTTCAGAACCACTGAGCAAGAAACCAAAGAGCATAGTTGTCATGAAGATAAGGAGCTAAGATGGTTTCTCTTATTGACAGAGTCTTGGCCACCATCTTTGTGATTGAGGGTGTTGCACTCAGCAGTTCGCTGGCAGCAGCCTTATGTGAGTGGTCACACTTCTGGCTGCTGGCCCACTGGCTGCTCCTCATGGCTCTGAGGAGGATCAGGGACCCTAGAAGGGTTAACAGTCCTCAGTTGGTGGGAGAGTAGAGAGCATCTTCAGAAATGCTCCTAGAGTAGCCTGGACTGATCATTCAAATGCCAAGTCAGTCTGTTCTTCGAGTGGGCCCAGTGAGGTAAAAACCAGCATCTGGAGACAGCAGTGTTAGATGCAGAGCAACGAACAGAAGATGGTAAGTACGGCTATGCCTTGCAGACCAAGCAGCTCAGCACATTGGTGGGGGAGAGCGTTTACTCCTCAATTAAATGGAATGTGAGGGGACATGTGGAAGCTTCTGGCTCAGTTTGATGCCACTAACATCTGTATTTACATCCTTCCACCGATCTGAAGCCCGGCTAGAAGGCGGCATAGTTCATTCAGCCAAAGATGTAGTTACAAACCTAAAATGTATTTAAGACACTAATTTATCTGATGCCATAAGGAATTTGTAGATGTAGTGCTCTGAGGAGAAAAGATTATTAATAAACCACTTTCAGAAATGAGCCTCTGTCCAAGACAGGAGCCTGGGAAGTGAGTTAGCGTGAGTGGCTAAAGGAGGTGAGGATTCCAAAATGTTCTTTTTTGGTCAAAAAGGGGAGCTGTAATTGGACCAATGCAGGGCATTTATGAGCATCTACACACTTAACTCCAGGGTGGCAGGGTTATCCTGGGTGAACGGGTCTCTGACTGGGAGTGGGCGGGGGGGTCTGCCCATGTGCATGTAGCTGTGAGAGCTTATCCAGGTGCCTTTTTCTCATTGCTACATGTTGTGCCTTGCAGATACTGGGTTACTTTGACTATGCTTTCACAGCCATCTTCACTGTTGAAATCCTGTTAAAGGTAATGGATTTTTCTTTGATCCTCACATGTTCTAAAGCAGCTGTGGCAATTAACGGTTGCAATTCTTTGTTTACCTTCCAGATAATAGGTTATGCAGATTATGTCTTCACTGGTACTTTTGCATTTGAGATCGTTTTGAAGGTAACAGGCTACACAGCAGTGGGTCAAAGGGACTCCTCCTGTGTGTGATACACAGGAAAGAAGCTTGAAGTGCTCTTGACTTTTTATTTTTATTCTTTTATGTCTTCTGTAAGATGAACTTTTTCTTAACCAAAGGATTTTTTTCTGTAACTATTGCAACTTATTTTTGCTGTCTATTTTTAACCTTTGCATGCATGTAGGAACTACTTTTGCTTCATGAAACTGATCGGGAATTATATTTTGCTCCCTTTAAAAAATATATATGTATATCCTTTGACATTTGTTGATGGATAATAGATCCATCACTGTGTGTGAACTTTCTTCCACCCTTCCTGGCATCAGAGGCAGAGGAAAAGCGTTCATCCTGGGAAGGGAGTATATCTTTTCTCATTTCTCTGACTGAATTATGTTTTCAGTGGCCTAAAATAGTAACACGCTATTTTCTTGCAATAGGATTTGCAAGATAACTTGAGTCTATTTGTGTTAAGATATTTTATATCTTTTTTAATGGATGGGCTTACATTTACACAACAAAAACAGCAGAGGCGTAGCTAGGGTAACGAGCACCCAGGGTGATCTCTAAATTTGCACCCGCCTTGTTGAGCGGGGTAATTCACCAGCAGACCTCATCTGGAGCCCTCTTGGACTTGTGCCTGGGGGCAAATGCCCCCCTCTAACCTCCCCTGGCTACATCTCTGAAAAAGCGTACCTTTCGGACAGGGAGACCTAAATGTACTTGCCCATGCATGAGCTGACAGTTGCCGTTTGCTGCATGTAGTTTGTGTCCTGATTGTGAAGGCTACCCTACGGGTGAGCTCGTTTCCTACACACTCAGAGGTCTGGAGACCACGAGCAGAGAGCCTGGAAACTCCCGGAGACTTGCTAAGCACCATGAGGCAATCGTGGCTCCTAGTGACAACAAGCTGCGGAATTGATGCTTCTAATCGCGATTTTCTTTAAACTGTTTCCGTTTTTGTATGTGCGCAGTGTGTTTTATGTTAGACCACTGTGGAACTTGGGTTCTTTACAAAATCATCTATAAAATGAAACCTCGATTAACATTACCAAGGAATTGGGTATTTATTTATTGTCTTTTTGTTCTTGGTAATGAAAACGTTAGTACAAAACCAACCAATGAGCCAACCTCTGTTTAAACCTTTGTTTAAAAATCTTCTAAAAATTCACGCTCATTTTTTTTTTGCCTTGAAGCCCGTGGATTTGGATGACAGTTCTGCCCCAAGTGAAAATGATGCCCTGGGTGGGTGACCACATTCTAACAGTGGTCTCAGTAACAAGCAGTTGCAGAATGCACAGGGGCTGGGTTCCCAGCCCTGCCTTTGTTGGTCCCTGAGACCAGCTGCTGCTTTTTATGTAATTTGCCTTCTCCTCCTCAGACTGAATGGAGAAATAGTCTACTTAGTTAGCCTGGCTGATAAAGGTTTTATTTTACTTTCCACATTTTTAAGTTGCTAAATGAGTGTAGTTACTCTTGAGCTTTGGGGCAGTTGAGATACAGAATCATTAAGAAAAGAGAGGGAGAGTTCCTTTTTCATTTTGGAATATTTGCCTCAGTGACTTAATTCTCGTGAGCCATTCTCCATTTGAAAGGTATTTTCAGAAAGTGGAAAATAAGCTAGAACAAGGATTCAGAAAATGGAGATGCAACAAGAAACATCTAATATCTGAAATGGTGGTTCCTGGTGACCTTGGGAAGATTCCAAAAGCTGTTTGCTTATTTGGTTAAACAATATGAACGCCATTCATGTAGGTCAAAAAGGACTGAATATTGGCAGTTTTATATAGTTCAGTGTAATTCTCCAGTCTGCCTCTCCTCTCCTGTACTTATCTGAACCTCTCCATCCCACTCCCCTTTTTTTAATAAACAGTGAACTCCAGATATTTTGCTGTTTTCACTCTGGGGAAATTCCTCACTAAGCTCTTCTTTTGTAGCCAGTAGAAACCTCACTGGAGCGCCCATCCCATGTGCTCTAGTAAACCTACTTGGCATGTCACTGGAAAGCAAGAGACTGATTTAGTTGAGATGCCATGTGATGGCTTCCTAGCCACACCTTGCACTCTAGCAGTAACTAGGCTGGAGGTACTCTTTCCAATAGGTCTGTTGCTAAGGACTAGATGTGCAGCAAGGGGTCTGCGTGGGGGAAAGTGATGCATGTGTCTATGTAAATAGAATCAGTGAGCACACTGGACTCCAGTGCTCTTCCTAGCCCCCACTGGAAAGGCTGAATTGGCTCAGTGTAGGCTCTACTAGGGTCTCAAGGAGGACAGGAGTCAGCATTTTGCAGGGGAAGCTGCTTTATCTGGGTAATGATTACATTCTAACAAATACTGTCATATACACTCTCTCCTGAGACAGGGCTCTTTGGACATGCCAATAATGCATTCATATTCGAAGTCTACCATCACTGTAATAAAGCCTAAATTGGTCTCTTCTTTAAAATGTATCTGAAGTAAGCTGCTATTCTTCCATTTTTGTTTGAACAAATTATTCTGCTGCTCAGCCCTGTTGGTTTACATTTCTGGCTTCCTAACACACACTTGTTAATAAAGTCATACTTCCCTCAAGGTTTTGTAAAGAGCTTTGGTTTCTTTTCTTCTGGAGGGAAAAAATAGTAAATTACCCACGATTCTGCTTTTAGATGACGACTTTTGGAGCTTTCCTCCACAAAGGGGCTTTCTGCAGGAACTACTTCAATTTACTGGATATGCTGGTTGTTGGGGTGTCTCTGGTGTCGTTTGGGATTCAGTAAGTATTCTGTGTGTGTGTGTGTGCATGCATATACCCAGGACTGTTGGGTAGGATGGTTTACGCAGAAATTTTAACATAATTCTCAAAGGCTGGGCATCTTTTTGATGATTGTATTTAGTTATCCCGGGGCTGCTTAAATTGCTTTCCTGTCAGAAAGCATTGGGACAATTCATATTTTCTTGTGTTTCTTTTTTTTTTTTTTTTTTGTGTGTGTGTTTGTGTATACGCGTGTATGCGCATGTGCACGCGTGCTCATGCTAGCTTATGTTTATTACCGTCTGTGAAATTTGTTTTCATCAGAGAGTGAAAGAGTTCTTGACTAGAAAGAAGGAAAGCCAGGTTCTAGTTCTGCTTCCTCCAGGGCTGGCTGCAGGACCTTTAGGGCATCCCTTACTCTCAGGAGCTTGGTTCCGCATCTCTACAGGAGGGGCTGGGACTAGGTGGCTCTCAGGGCCGTTTCAGCTTAGACATTCAAAACTTCCCTTCATCTCCAGGATGCAGCAGTTACGATGACTTTTTTCCTTTGGCCTTTACAATATTTAAGCTAGGAGGGGACCAAGGAGGCAAGTCAGGTCCCCAGCTGCTTTTCATGGCATTTAGGGATTTTTGCTGGGGAGTAGCCAGGGCTGACCACTGTCTGCCTGCCATACCCACGTTTCTGGGGTAGAAGCACCAGTGGGAGCATCCAGGAGTGGCCTTGCTTTCCTGCTGGCTTATAAACACTCCTGCTCAGGTGCTGACATCAGTACCCCCTATATGCGCACAAGCATGCACACATGCAGCCTCTAAGTTAAAGGTAAATGGAGAGAGTCTCTCCCCCCTCAAAAGACCAGGACCCCTGCCTGAAACAACCCCCTGTTGTAGTCTTCCTCACTCCCACTGCTGCCCAGGGATAGGGGGTCGTAGCTTGGAAAGACATTTCACTAGTATCTTTGCAACTCCTATAAACTCCCAGGCTGCACCTGCGCTCTTGAACTGTAGCCCTTGCGTACTTCCTCCTGATCATGTGCTCCAGCCACCCTGAGCCATTCGTGGTGCTGTACATGAGCTGTGTTCACTTTCGTCTAGGCCCTTTTTATGTGCAGCTCCTTTGGCCTGGAACCCTTTCTCCTTTGTCTTAGCTAACCCCTACTCTGCCTTTGAGACTCACCTGGACAGCATCTTACCCAGAGGCCTTCCCAGGCTCCCCCCAAGCTGTTGCTCCCCTAGGAGAGCACACTGTGTTCACTTACCCCTACTGTCATACACACCACATGGGTCATAATGCCCATCTCTTCTGCTAGACTGTGAACTCCTGATGGCCAGAGAAGCCCAACACCAAAGCACTGCAATAGGTTTCCAAACTTCAAAAAGAAGAAGCAGCAGCAGCCTAAAAGCCAAGTACCGCCTAGTGTTTACACTGAGTAGAAAGAACAAAGCCAGTTTATAAATTGGGCCTCCGCCAAGGTTAGCTGCTCTAAATGGTCCTCTGTGAGGGTCCACGGGCTTGGCTGAGACGGCACTGTGTATTATGGAGAAGGAGGTGATGGGTAACGGTATGTAAGTCACGGAGAGACGGTAGTTCAGCTCTGCAGAGATCTCACACAAGCTGTGTAGTGGTATCAATGTGAAGGTCAAGTGGAATAATTAATCGCAAAGTGTTTTATCCAATCGTAACTCACTCTACTTTCTCCTTTGCCTCTTCTCTTTTCCTTAGATCCAGTGCTATCTCCGTTGTGAAGATTCTGAGAGTGTTAAGGGTCCTGAGGCCCCTCAGGGCAATCAACAGAGCAAAAGGACTTAAGGTTTTGATTCCTCTCCTCCACGCTGGGCTTTCTTGGATGGGGGTTAGCTGTAATTAGTGGCTTTTCTGGGCCAGAGCTGGCCTGAAGCTCTGTGGGTTACATGTGAAAAGCAAATGTCTGACCAATTAACCTCTATACAGAGAGCATTTGTCAAATTATTATTTATTTTCTTTATTTTTAGTAATTAAGTTTTTTTCTTTAATTGCTGTTTATTATTTTTCATTATTAATATTTCTTTGTGTTTATTTTAGTCTTTAAATTTATTCTTATGCATGTGGTATAAAAGGCCAGAGGGTTTGCATTTTCCTAAGTCTGTTTTGGGGTGAGGAGTACCTGTTGGGCCTGTGTGCCGCACAGTGCCGCACATGTAGCGTTTCTCGGGAGGAAACCAAGGAGGGGCCCACGTGCGTTCCTCACAGGTAACTACCTGAAAAGCAAAGCCAAAGGGACTGAAAGTTTGGAAAATCATATACAAATGGCCATAAAATACACGCTGTTGATGGTGTTCATGAACCTTCACTTATTGGTGACTGAAATAACACAGGAAAGTAGTGCTCTCTCTGATGTCCCCACTCTTCTCTCCCCAGCACGTTGTCCAGTGTGTCTTTGTGGCCATCCGGACAATCGGCAACATCATGATCGTCACCACCCTTCTTCAGTTCATGTTTGCCTGCATTGGGGTCCAGTTGTTCAAGGTAGAGGGGCGTGCCTTCAAGCTTAAACACTGCAGCTGATTTCTTTAGGGAGAAGCTGACTGTTTATCTGTCTGTTTTGTATCCAGGGAAAATTCTATCGCTGCACAGATGAAGCCAAAAGTAATCCTGAAGAATGCAGGTGAGTGCCCTGGAAGTGAGAATGGGAAATTTGGAAGAACAAATAGAAAACTTCAAAGATTTGCTCATACTAGATTTTCAGAAGTTTTTGTCATGAAAGAGAAGAAGCTTTTGTGCTCAGTTCATAACCTTTGATGTTCAGTATGGAACCTGTGAACTGGAGGAGAAAAAAACTGATGTAATAATTATTAAATGCCCCAACAAGCTCCCCCTGTAGCCATGAGGAGGATTTCTCCACAAATAAGGCTTGGAGCTCCACTCTCATGTGTTCAGGAGCTGGCTACCCTCTTCTGGCAGATTCTCTAGGCTTCCTGTCTCCCCTTGCTCCTGCCAGCCACATTTTGGCCATTTTTCCACTCACAAGAATGGGCAGAGGAAAAAGAGGGTGGTAACTATCCACAGTTCTTGTTAATAGACGTCCAGAAGAATATTAAGGCAGACATGGAGACCATTGCTTCAAGTTTTGAAACCCTGTGTCGAAGTACATGTCTCCTTGTCATCTAAAGATGCAGCTCACTGGTTTAGCTGCTTGCGCCACTTTGTTGGTTTAGGGGTTCTTTGTAAGCAAAAGATGTGGTGCAAAGAGCTGACTGTGGGCTGTGCAACTCCAGAGGCACCGTTCCCACAGGCAGTGGGGGGAATGGCGCCCCCTGGAGTTGAGCAGCACCACAGCAGTGCAGAGATACTCTCCTTTCCCCCTCTTCTGTAAAATAAAGATATTGGACTTGATCTCTTGGATTTCTTCTGCAAATGGAATTCTGTGAGGAATGTTGTGTGCTAAAAAGTATGGAATTCTCTTGGAAAAGAAAGTTGAGAATATTGTTAGTAGGAAAAGAAAGAATTTGATTAGAACTAAACTTCAGGTAAGAATATACCTGGACCCATTCCCAGAGCTTGTAGAATTCTCCACTTCTAAAGCTTTTCACTCTTTGGAGTACACTTTGAGCCATTGTATATGAGGACTATTTCCCCTAGGTAGTTTTCATTTGTTAACAGACATAAGCTGGGTGTCTACCTTGTTGCTCTGGAGAATACACCTTGTCCTAGTAGTGACCAGATAGTTATTTGAACTCTAGAGTAGATTAAATGCAGGGGGAGAAGAGAGAAATGCAGACTGTGTGAAGCTAGGGTCTGTGGCCTGACTGGCAGGCCGAGTGTGGCGGGGCCTGGAGCGTTGGGGCAGATGTGACTGACTTACTGCTGTGTTCACTTTTCACACATAAAGCCAGAATGAACCACACTTCTTTTTCCTCTCTAGGGGGCTTTTCATTCTCTACAAGGACGGGGAGGTTGATAACCCCGTGGTGCGTGAGAGGATCTGGCAAAACAGTGATTTCAACTTTGACAACGTCTTGTCTGCTATGATGGCACTTTTCACAGTCTCCACGTTTGAGGGCTGGCCTGCGTAAGTATAGAGTATGTTGTCTTCCAAAGAGGCTCTTGGGGCTAGGGTCCTCTCTGCTTTCCTGTCCTACTTGCTTCTGTGACTCTGGGCTGAGCCATCTTTCTGGAAAGAGTCCCATTTCTTCTGTTCTCTGCAGTCACAGGCTGTCCCTGTGATTTTATATTTATTTATTTTTAATTTTTTCCCATACAAAAAATTATACATACATTGTTATGTGACTCTAATTGCTCTCCCCATACAGTGACAGCACACTCCTCCTTTCCACCCCTGATTCCCCATGTCCATTCAGCCAGCTCCTAACGTTCTCTGCCTTCCCATCTCACCTCCAGAAAAAAGCTGCCCGTTTATTCTTTTGTATCTACTTGAGCCAGGAGGCACATGCCTCACGAGTATCACTTTATGTCCCACAGTCCAGTCCAATCCCTGTCTGAAGAGTTGGCCTCGGAAATTGCTTTAGTTCTGGGCTTGATAGAGAATCCAGGGGCCATGCTTTCCTGGGTTCCTCTAGTCTCAGTCAGACCATTAAGTCTGGTCTTCTTACTAGAATTTGAGTTCTGCACCCCACCTTTCTACTGCTCCATCCGGGACTGTCTGTTGTGTTCCCTGTCAGGGCGGTCATTGGTGGTAGCCGGGCACCATCTAGTTCTTATGGTCTCAGGCTGATGAAGTCTCTGGTTTATGTGGCCCCTTCTGTCTCTTGGGCTACTACTTTCCTTGTGTCTTTGGTGTTCTTCATTCTCCTTTACTCCAGGTGGTTGAGACCAATTGATGCATCTTAGATGCTGTTTGCAAGCTTTTAAGACCCCAGATGCTACTCACAGAACTAGGATGCAGAACATTTTCTTAATAAGCTTTGTTATACCAGTTGACCTAGATGTCCCCTGAAAGCATGGTCCCCAGACCCTGCATCACTGCTACTGTGTCCCTCAACGTGTTTGATTGTATTGAGGAAACTTCTTAGCTTTGGTTTAGTGCAGTTGTGCTCACTTCTCCTGTAGTGTGTGCTGTCCTTCCCTTCACCTAAGATAATTCTTATCTACTATCTTGTTAGTAAATAACCCTCACCCTCCCTCCCCACCCACAAAACCATCAAAGAATGTTTTCTTCTGTGTTTAAACCTTTTCTTGAGTTCTTATAATAGTAGTCTTATACAATATTTGTCCTTCTGTGACTGACTACATTCACTCAACATAATGACCTCCGTCTTCCTCCATGTTATGTTTCATGGCTTCGTCGTTGTTCTTTATTGTTGGGTAGTATTCCATTGTGTGCATATACCATAGTTTGTTTACCCATTCGTCTGTTCATGGGCACCTAGGTTGTTTCCAGCTTTTTGCTATTGTGAACAGTGCTGCAGTGAACATGGGTGTGCATATATCTGTTTGTCAGCTCTTATTTCTCTAGGATATATTTCAAGGAGCGGGATAGCTGGATCGTATGGTACTTCTGTTTCTAGCTTTTTAAAGAAGCGCCAAATCGATTTCCAAAGTGGTTGTACCAGTTTACATTCTCACCAACAGTGTATAAGTGTTCCAGTCTCTCCACAATCTCGCCAGCATTTATTATTTTGTGTTTTTTGGATTAATGCTAGCCTTGTTGGGGTGAGATGATATCTCATTGTAGTTTTGATCTGCATTTCTCTAATGGCTAAT